ATGGGCTTGCACACCTGATGGACCAATAGCTGTCACCTGGAGAGGTGCCTTGAAACTGCCTTCCCTTTTGGCTCAGCCAGGTGCAGCATTTCATGACCACTACCTACGTTTGCCCAAGAACCAATCCTCTCCCTACCTACCTGGACCCAGTACAGTGGAGTCCCAGGCCAGGAAGGCTCTACTCCACCCAAGATGTGGGAGCCACAGCTGAGAATGAGCAGGGCTAATCAAGGTGCCCAGCAGTTCATGCTGTCTGTAGAGAAGAAACCAACCTCCCACTTGCACAACTGCAAAGAAATTTGACAACAATGAGCCCCACTTGGGTATGTGAGGTGGTGCTCTGCCCTCCTTGATGGACAGCATGAAGTACATGGGTCTCTAGCAGCCATGTGTCAGCCTACTGCCAGTACCGCAGACAGACTGTCATCCGATAGCACAGCACCTTCCAAAGGCCACATCTTCAGGTGACAGCACAAAATGCAAATCAGAAAATATGTGGCTTCTGAAACAACTTTCTCAAATGACAGACAGGGAGGCTCCCAGGAAGACTGGGTGACTGAGCAAATGTGAGAAAAATGAAAGGCTCATCAATTATCAATGAAAGTTTTATAAATGACTTAAGAATGTGAAAGAAAAAAAAAAAAAAGGCTGAAGAGCCTCCTTGACTCATACCCAGAATCCTTTCTCTCTGTCCATCCTCCTGGGGCAGCCTGAGTTCCTTCCAATACACAAACAAAATTACACAATCCACAAATCCTCCTCCTCCTGAAATATCTTCCATGGTCCCCTTCCTCCTGACTCCCCACTGTTTGGCAATCTTACCCTACCTGCGCCCCTGTGGACCCTCTCACCGCAGCCCTTGGGAGGGCTGGCTCTGACATCATCAGGCTTTGCACACCCTGTTCCTGCCTGTGAATTCCCTTTCCCACTTCTCATGTCCATCCAGAGCTGACTCCTTTCTTCTGGAGGCTTTCTCAGGAAAGTGGATCCCTGCCATTCCACTGTGCTCACACTGCTGTCATGGCTCTTCAGCATGCTGCACTGAGATTCTGCAGAGAAGGTGTGTAGACTCTAAAGGGGCATGTCACAGTGAGGGGCCTCCAAGTCTCAGGAACGTGGGAATGAGGGACATTAACAGAGGGTCTGGAAACAAGCAGCCCAGAAGATTTAGGAAGCTTCAAATGTAATCCAAAAAAATGAGGCAGACTTAATGAAAAAAAAAAAAAAAAAAAAAAAAGCTATGGCTCAATTTAGTATGCATTATTAGGCAAGGCAAGCTACATGATTGGGGAGCTCACAAAGTAGGAGTTGGAGTCTAAAACCAGTCCAGTGGAGGGGTGGGGCTGTACTGTGGGGTTAGGTCACTCACCAGGCTTCTGCCTCAGGGCCTTGGCTAATTCCCCTAACTTGCCCCAGCTCACCAAGTGACCTTCTGCCTACTGACTTGGTTCTCAGACAGTGATGGCCAGACATCATACTCCAGGTCAGGGAGAGGCCTGAAGGTGCTCAGCAAAGCTCCATGGCCGGGGAGCCCACTGCACTGTCTCCTGCCAGTCTCCTGGTTCTACCGCTGCCGTTTCTCTGCTGCTGTGTCCCACCATCTCTTGCCCTCTCCAGTATTATGTATGCCTCTCAATGTCTCCTGGGTCAAGGACATTCTCAGTGCAGGGATCCTGGTCTAAAGGCTGGACTCTGCTCCCATCTCTTCTTCTTGGTGGCGACAAGTTCCCCCTTTCTGCCTTGGGACGGCTCATTTTAGGCCTAATGGGATGGCAAAACTGACCTATCCCCTAGGGCTACCTTATTTGCATGGTCCCAGCATGCAAATTATTTACATTATTAGCAAGCTATCCAATCCCCTCAGTGAGCCACAAGCATTCATTTACATAGCCCACCCCATCATTGGTAGGAGTTACAAAGACCGTGGCTAGAAGGGCCATATTAAGTAATTCACTGCACTGTGGTGGTGGTGTTGCTACGTGCCATCGAGTCGGACCCGACTCATAGCGACCCTCCTTGGGTTTCCGAGGCAGTATCAGTATGGAAGTAGATTGCCCCATCTGGAGTGGCTGGTGGGTTTGAGCTGCCAGACTTCTGGTTAGCAGTCAAGTGCCTTAGGAACTACATCACCAGAGCTCTCCATTGCACTGTAGATGGGATAAATACCTTTTCTGATTCCAAAGTCATACAAATAACTTCATGGAACTCTTTTTGCCTTTTTTATACATCACAAATCTTCCATTTTCCTGTTCTATGTTTAGTTCGCTAGAATTATAAGGGACAGAACTTTTTTGTTCCTTTCCATTCTTACATTCAAGGCCTCATTCTACCCAAAGACCAGAAGCATCATTAAGCCCTATGTTTAAAAGACAAAAACCAAGATAACACGTTTCATCTGTATCATTAATCGGCCTGCCTAAGCCATCTCTGCTCTTCTCCATCCACACCCCAGGTGTTCTCATCACAGCTTCACATACTATTTACAGGCTATCAGTAAGGGTGTAAAATCCTATCTCTGGCCCACATCTGTGCCTGCTCTCCAGACTCAAGTACCAACTGCCAACTCCACATCGGTACTTAGATGTCAAATAGACATCTCAGGCCCAACACGTTCAAAATCTAACCCTTGGTTTGTTCCTCCCCCAGTCTTCCCCAGGTTTTCATTCTAGTTGCTTCTGCCTCTCTTTTTTCTCATCCACACCACCATACCCCATATCTAACCAGGCTGCCTCTTCCTTCAAAATATATCCCAAATCAGACTACTTGTCACCATTTCCACTGCTACCACACTGGGCCAAGCCACCACCCTCTCTTCCCACTGGATTACTCCAACAGCCTCCCAATAGATCTCTCTGCTTAGACCCAGGCTACCTCTCACCCCACCCCACATGGTACCTGAGTGATCCTATTAAAATTCTACATCAAGTCATGTTGCTGTTCTCCTGAAAGCCTTAAATACAATCCAGTCTTTACTGCAGCCTCCAAGGCTCCTAAGATTTGTTATTATTCAGTGCCACCGAGTTGATTTCGACTCACAGCAACCTCATGTGACCGAGAACTGCCCCACAGGGTTGTCTACACTTCGTAATCCTTATGGGGGCAGACTGCCAGCTCCTCGCTGCTGCAAAGGTGCTGGGTGGGAGTGAACCACTAAACTTTAGGTTAGTAGTTGAGTGCTTGACTGTTTCATCACCAGGGCTCCTTTCTTAAGCCTAAGTACATACAAGAATCACCTGGGGAGCTTTCCAAACTACCACCACTAGAGCTCTATCCCAGGTCAATTTAATCAGAATCTCTAGAGTTGAGACCAGGCCTTTCTTTCTCAGTTTCTAGGGTGATGGAAGCAGTAGCTAAGGTGAAACCCCTGCACTACATAGACTCCAGCTGCCTCTCATTTCTACTTACAACACCCTCTTCCTCTCACCTCCTGCCTCAGCCCCTCCTACCCTCTGGCATTTCTCCAGCAGGTCAGAAGCACCCGTCTCAGGACTCTGCACCAGCTGTTCCCTCCGCCTACCATGCTTTCTCCTGGGTATCCAGTGGCTTGCTCATTCCCAAATCACATTTGGCTCTCCATCTAAGAAGCCACCCCAGTGAGGCCTTTCCAGGCCAGCCCCATGTAACACCTCCCCTTCTCATGCTCTGTCCTTTTACTCTACATTTTATTTCTTCACAACACTTACCTACCACCACACATTACATTAACCAGGAGGTTGATGTTTCAAACCCACCAGCCACTCCTCGGAAGGAAGGTTGGGCAATCTACTTTTGTAGTGATACTGCCTTGGAAACCCAAGGCGGGGTCGCTATGAGTCGGGTCTGACTTGATGGCACATAACAACAACAACAACAACACACATTACTTATTTGTTTGCTCTTTGTTTCACCTCCTAGAATGTTAGCTTCCCAAGAGCAGAGGCTCTCTCCATCTCATTCACTGCTGCATTCTTGGAGCCTAGAACAGTGCTTGGTGTCCAGTGGGGGAAAAAAAAAAATTAACTGCCAATGAGTCGATTCCAACTATAGTGAACCCCTTTGGGTTTCTGAGGTGGTAAATCTTTACAGAAGTACATTGCTGGTCTTCCTTCTGCAGAGTGGCTTGTGAGTTTGAACCTCCAACCTTCCGGTTAGCAGTCAAATGCCTTAGGCACTACACCACCAGAGATCCTTGGTGTCCAATAAGTGCTTAATAAAATATTTGTCAAATTCACTTGTTAAATGAATTAAATTTCACAAAACCTATTAATGACAATGTTTGTAGAGATTGCATAGGAAACTCATGCCCTATGACATTTACTGACTTTATAAAGAATAGTGTGTTTTTAAAAAATTGTCCAAAGCAACATAAACCAATATGACATGGGATTTTGGTAGATAATTTAACAGAATCATTAAGTTATCAACCAACAATGGAAAGTTTTTCTTAGGAAATTTAAGAGGCTTATTTTTAGTAAGTGTTCTTGACCAAAAGGTTGAGACCCACAGTTCCACATTTCTGATCTTCACTGAAAGCATGTGAGCTACTCTAAACAATCCTGCCTCTTCATCCCTGAAAATGACTGTTCTGGAGGTGGCAACGTGCAAGTTATAAGCACTGGTGCTAGAAGCAGCTGGAAAAATATGCTACCTTTGTGCTTGTTTCATTTTCCTTCCTTTTCTGAAAGTATCTTGATGATCTTTAATGCTGAAGTAAATTATGAGTCAAACACAGAACCAGACTCAGACTTGTACTGTTTTCTTGTATTACATGAATTTCCACATATTAAAAGTGTTCAGTAAGTGATTTCCATTTTACTAATCTACAAAGAGATGTAATTTTCCCATAGAATGGTGCTAACAGCATCCTGCCTTGGGCTTTTAAATGATCTATTTATAAAATTCCCATCCAATTTATAATAAACACTCCCACACACAGTCTGAGGAGGGGACTCAGAGTACTTCATTCCTTACTCTCCTGGAAACATCAAGTGTCCACAGAGGAATGAGGAGGTAGAGTTTACCTGTGTGTGTTCGTAGATGTTTCTTTAGCTGAGACACATCCATGAACTTGCGATGGCAGTGGTTGCATTCCGGTAATGAGTGGCCTTGTCGCAACAATAAAAAAAGTGTCAGTGCTTAAATGCTCTCCCTGCACTTCTTCAGTGATTTGTGTTAATGCACTTCCTGAAAAATAATCACTTTAAATATGGTGTTTTAATAAAACAACAACAGTCATTTTTTTTATTCATCTGGTAACAGTTAATATTTTCTTATATACCTTATCTCATGAGAACACAATGCTTCCCCAAGAGAGCGGAGACCCTTCCAATTTTCCTAAATGTAACTTCCTTTTTTTCTCAAAGCCCTGGTGTGGCTATAGCCAAATGACTGCAAAAGTTGTTTCCAACCCCTTTCCTCTCTCAATCAGATAACAGGAAAGAGAAAAGGACAATGGGCAGAGCCAGGTGGGAGAAAGCCTGGACTGAGAGCTACGGTGCAGCGACGGCTCTGACTGGGCACCACTAGAACCCAATTACCTGGCACCCTCTCAGGCAACTGGTGCTTTTGAAAGATACCAATTTTATAGAGTTTTTGTGTGCCATACACAAAAACTGTAGAATAAAAATTAAATGTAAATTACATGGTAGCAGAGAATAACTCGAGAACATCTAATTTAGATTGCTTCTAAGACCCTTTCCCCTAAACACTCACTTACCTACAATTTGAATCTAATGTTTCAGAAAATATTAATCTGTCTCTGTGTTTCCCCCACCACCAATCCACACTTTCTCCTACTTCACTGTACCTGTATGAACTCGGTAATGACTCTTTAGCTGTCTTTTCTGGCTGAAGTACTTTCCACATTGATCACAGGTAAAGGACTTCTGTCCTGCCAAATAAAAAACAAAACACTAAAACATGCGAAAACCATTAAAAAAAAAAAACCTAGAATGCAGAGAAGATAAATACACAGTGAGCCCAGGTACCTATTTTCTACAAAATGAAACCAGTGACTTGTCTGCAAGCCTTCAGAGTCTATGGCATTAGTAACATTAACAGTGTGAAAGTACATAAGGCAACAGGGAGTGATGGAGACTGGAGCAGAACCAGGGCTTCAAAATGGTTCATTCTAGGTCAACTGGAATGAACCAGTTCTAAGCCCTGGGTAGAACTGGGGAATTCAGGTTTCCCCCAAAGGCATTCAGAGTAAAATAACCTGTAGTGGTTACACAAAACATGTTTTGCACACTTAAGTCCCAGTGGCCAGTTTACAAGCCCTAGCTTTAAGGCTTAATGCTGTATACAACTCTAAGCTACACTATAACAGATGCACCATTCCATCCTTCAAAGACACCATGTGGGTTATGATACCAGGCTAAGACAAGACCACTTAGATCTCAGCAATGCGCACGTGGGAATGGGAGACTGGTGGCAGCTGGCCTCCTGGCGCAGGTCGGGCTACCTGAGTGCAGGCTCATGTGTTCCAGCAGTGAATGCTTGGTGGTCAGAGCCTTGCCGCACACGGTGCAGGTGTACGGCCGCTCGCCGGTGTGCATCCTGGTGTGGACCTGCAGGGAGTGCTTCTGGGCAAAGCCTTTTCCACACTCGTTACATTTGAAAGGTCGCTCCCCTGGAACAAGAGCCCCAGAAGCATGGTGTAAGCAAGAATCCATGTGTCTTTCCCCATTCCCTCCCATTTAAAATGACAATAAAGGGATCTCTCTTAAAAGGCACAGATCCCAAAGAAAAACGAACAGGAGAGCAGACATCAGCAATAAAATTTTGGAAGCAGAAACAGATGAATCGGTGGCATGTGCTAACTGTGAAAATGGGGGTGAGGGAGGTAATTGATAGACTGTTTCAAAGGTAGTTTACTCCCCGCCCCCAACCCAGTCCCCTCCTGCAGACTGTTCTCTGAAGAGGGTAAAACAAAGGGTCTCTGGCTTGGAGGTTGCCAGGCACAATTGAGTGGGACAACCACAGGGAGAGCAAGCCAAAGTTCCTATCTGAGATGATGAGACTTCCCTGACCTTCCTCCCCTCTTCATGCTCCAAAACACTGGCAGCCAGGCATACAGCCTCCAGGCAGGCAAGCAAAAATATCTTCTCCCGGAATGTGATGAGTTCCAGGTAAGAGAGCTCAGGATACCAATGCCAGGCATGACAAAGGAAATAGGGTCCAGCCACAAGTCCAGTGAGGCCACTGTCTCCAGGCCTTATGCACACTTGCAAAATTGCATAATCAGAAAGCAGAGTAAGTTTGGCTAGAGTTTTATACTTACTTAGCTTTTCCTTACATTAAATATGAATTTTAAAAAAATCAACAGGCATTCTGTAGGAAAGTCTCTAAGAGGCAAGGCAGAGACCAAAAGGTACAATAAGAAAAAAGTAACTTACAGAAACAAGAGACTGGCCAGGGTGAAGAAAACATTAAAAATTAACAAACAAGTAAATGTTATCATTAACATACAGAGATATTACATTGTGAAACGAAAAGGGTGATATTTAAAAAAAAAATTAGAGAAAAAGAACTCCTAAAAATAAAAAAATAAGATTAGAAATAAAAAAAAAGCTGAAAGATAAAGTGGAAATCTCCCACAAAGTAGAACAAAAAATGAAGGAAAATACGAAAAACGATCAAATAGTCAGAAGATTCATCCAGGAGGTCCAACATTCAAATAGTGAAAGTTCCAGAGAAAAAAATAGAGGGAAGGAAACCGTCTATGAAGTAATTCAAGAAAAATTTCCAGAACTGAAGGGTATGAGTTACCAGACCGCACAGACCTACCCAGAATCCACTTCATGGGAATAAAGCAGATCCACACTAAAGAAATCCACAGCAAAATTTCAGGACATGGGGGCCAAGAAGAGCTACCTGCTCTTTTCTGCTCTGACACACAGGGGGTTGCCAGGCCTACATGCTGATTTTCTTAACAAATTCTTCTTAACTATTTAAACTCTTGGAGCGCTGGTAGCATAGTGCCTAAGGATGTGACTGCTAACCAGAAGGCTGGAGGTTCAAACCCACCAGCTGGATGGTAGGAGCCTTAAGCTCTAGTTTCTATATTTAAGCTCACAATTAAACTGAGTGATGTACGCTGTTGTTGTCAGCTGGCGTCCAGGCGCCCTGACTCATGGTGAGCCCATGCACAATGGGATTGGACCATTGGGATCCATAGGGTTTTCACTGGCTGAATTTCAAAAGCACATCACTAGGCTTTTCTTCTGTCGTTTTAGTCTGGAAGCTCTGTTGAAATCTGTTCAGCATCACAGCTACATGCAAGCCTCCACTGAGAGGTTACGTGGTGGTTGTGCTTGAGGTGTCCTGGCTGGGAATTGAACCCAGGTCTCCTGCATGGAAGGCAAGAATTCTATCACTGAACCATCAGATTGCCCTCCAGGGAGATATAAAAACCAGACCAAGCCAGACACACTGTCATCAAGTCGATTCCGACTCAGAGTAACCCCCACTGAGTTTCTAAGGTTGTAAATCTTTACGGAAGCAAGGACTGCCTCATCTTTCTTCCATGGAGTGGGTGGTGGGTTTGAACCACTGACCTTTTGGTTAGCAGCCAAATGCCTTAACCACTACCCCACCAGAGCTTCTTAAGGATACATGTTGTTGTTGTTGTTGTTTGCCGTCGAGTCGGCCCCCAACTCATAGCGACCCCTCCTTGGGTTTCCGAGGCAGGATCACTACGGAAGTAGGATTGCCCAACCTTCCTTCCGAGGAGTTGCTGGTGGGTTTGAATCGCCAGCCTTCTGGTGAGCAGTCAAGTGCCTTAGGCACTATGCTACCAGTGCTCCTTAAGGATACATAGGCAGTAACTAAAACCTGACCCAAAGCAGAGTGAATTAAGGGTATCGAGAGAGAGCTCAAAGGAGGGGATATCAGCTACAGCTATACTATCCAATATGGTGACTATTCACTACATGTGGCTATTCAAGCTTGTATTAAAATTTCAGAAGTTCAGCTCCTCAGTCACATTTGCCACTAAGTGCTCCACAGGCACACGTCTAGTCAGTCGCTACTTACTGGACAGTGCATACATATATTGGCCAGCAGGTTCTATTGATCAGCACTGGGCTAAAAAAACCCAAAACCTGTTGCTGTCCAGTCTATTTCAACTCATAGCAACCCTACAAGACAACCCTCACAGGGTTCCAAGGCTGTACATCTTTATAGAAGCAGACTGCCACATTTTCTCTTGGTTAGCAGCTAAGTACTTAACCACTGTGCTACCAGGGATCCTTAGCACTGGGCTAGAGGGACCAAAAAGGAATAAGCATTCATGGCTGGATGGCTGCGTGAGAAATCTGTCCAGACAGAAGAAACAATCCAAGCAAAAGCACAGTTGTGCTCAAGAAAAAATTATGTTTAAGAATCAGAAAGTAGAGTAGGTTTGGCTAGAGTTTTATACAAGAGCTCTGGTAGCATAGTGCCTAAGGCACCTGACTGCTAACCAGAAGGCTGGCAGTTCAAACCCACCAGCCATTCCTCGGAAGGAAAGTTGGGCAATCTACTTCTGTAGTGATACTGCCTCAGGAACCCAAGGAGGGGTCGCTATGAGTCAGGTCTGACTTGATGGCACGTAACAACAACAACAGAGTTATATCTGTAAGTTAAGACTGAAAAGTTCAGCTGGAGACATAACTTAGTTGGCCTTGAACCAACAATTCCAAAGAAGAGGAGTTCTAAAATCAGGCTACCTGGGTTCAAATTCCAGCTCTGTCACTAAATGGTCAAGTTACTTAAGCTTTCTAAGACTTGGTCCCTTTATCTGCCCAATGGGTATATTACCTACTTCAGAGGATTGCTGTGACAATTAAACACAGTTGTTGTTGTTGTTGTTGTTGTTATGTGCCGTCGAGTCAAACCTGACTCATAGCGACCCCTCCTTGGGTTTCCGAGGCGGTATCACTACGGAAGTAGGATTGCCCAACCTTCCTTCACACACAGTAACATGTATAAATGCTTTAGTACAATGCATCACACAGAAGTTGCACAATAAATGATAGCTATTATCATCATCCACCACCTGTCGGTTTATTGTACTGTGGTGGCTGACGTGCTGCTGTGCTAGAAACTATGCCACTATTATTTCAAACACCAGCAGGCTCACCCATGGTGGACAGGTTCAGTGATGTAACCAGACTGAGGCAGACGAGGAAGACCTGACAATCTACTTCCAAGAATGAGCCAATGAAGACTTTATGGACCTTAACAGAACACTGTCCAACTCACTTGCATTAGACACATATCAGGAAGGATCAATCGCTACTAGGTGGACACTATGTTTGGTGAAGGAGGACCAACAAGGGTGTGGAAGACCCGTGGTGAGATGGATTGGCACAAGAGCTACAACAGTGGACTCAAACACACTGGTAATTTTAAGAACACAGGACCAGGTGATGTTTTGTTCTGCTGTATTAAGTTGGCCATGAGTCAGAGTAGACTGAACAGCAACTGCTAACAACAACATTATCACTAACCCACTATCGTTAAGTTGATTCTGACTCATAGTAACCCTTTACCAAAGTAGAACAGCCCCATAAGGTTTCCACGGCTGTAAATCTTTACTGAAGCAAACTGCTTCATCCTTCTCCAATGGTGTGGCTGGTGTATTCAAACCGCTTACCTTTTAGTTAGCAGGAAAAAGCTTTAACCACAGCACCACCACAGCTCCTCAACATTATCACTACTACCCCAAATTCTAAAACCTGCTCCAATAAGCTACAAGTGTGCGTGTAATTACCAGTGTGGCTCCTCTGGTGGATTGCTAAAAAGTGATTGTACTTAAAGACTTTGCCACAGTCTTTACAGCGGGCCTCAGGGCCAGGGCGTTTTCTCCTTCCACAGACCCTCTTGGCAGAACCCTGATCCTCTTCATCCCCGACGAGTCTGTAATCTTTCAGTTTGACAGATCTCCGAATCTTCCTCTTGCTGTACCGACTCTGGGTGTCCTGCCCATCCTGGGTCTTGGGATCACAGTTCTCATCTTTTTCAGCTGGCATTTCTTCCATTCCCCCCGACACACAAACAGGCTGAGATGCTTCCATTTCTTTCACTGGAACCTGCTGGTTCAGCACACCACTGTCACCTTCTTTAGCCATAAAATTTTGTCTATTTTGAACGGAATTGTTCACTCTTAGTTGGATTTCTTCCTCTGCAGCCAGTTCTGACTTCCCCTCCTGCAAACTGTTGACTTTCCTTGGTCTTCCCCGTTTCCGCTTGGGAGGGTCATTTTTCTTATTAGAAATAACCACCACTGGAGCACCAGCAGGATTCAGAGTTGCCGGCTTGGGAGAGTTGTGGTTATTCTGAAAGTCTGTGTAAGCCTTCACCAGGTCATAGACTTTTAAGAACTGTGCAGTTGCCAGGATTTGTTCTGTAGTCCTCTCACTGGCATGGAGATAACCTGTGTAAATGAATTCCAGCAGGATGCTAAATGTATCAGCAACCATGCCTTCCAGCATATAAATGGACTGGCCGACCTCCCCCTCTTCAGCAAACATCATTGAGAAGTATTCGCTACTAGCAGCAAGTAAGGCTTTGTGGGCTCGGAAATGCACATTCTCCACTATTAAAGTGATGTCACAGAGAAAGCCCTTCTTCCTCTGATCCTCAAAACTGGCCAAGACAGAGTCACTGTGAGTGTCTGAGTGGACAACAAGGTGTCCAGTAGGTTGCTCTGGTGATGTTTCTGCCATTTTCTTTAGAAGACAAAGCTTAAACCTGAAATAAGAAAACAATACTGAAAAAGGAAGAAGCAAGGTTAATCCCAACACAAATGAACCTGCTGAAGAAGACTGAAGTTGTCTGGGATTTCATTTTACTTGGACCCACAATCAACACACATGGAAGCAGCAGTTAAGAAATCAGACATTGTGTTGCACTGGGGAAATCTACTGAAAAAGCCCTCTTTAGTGTTGAAGAGCAAAGATGTAACTTTGAAAATTAAGGTGCACCTAAGCCAAGCCATGGTATTTTCAACCATCTCATATGCATGTGAAAGCTGGACAATGAATAAAGACACTGAAGAAGAGTTGATGCCTTTGAATTGTGTTGAGGAAGAATACTTAAAATACCATGGGCTGCCAGAACAACAAACAAATCTGTCCTGGAAGAAGCGCAGCTAGAATGGTCCTTAAAAGCAAGAATGGCCAGATTTCATCTCACGTACTTTGGTCATGTGGTCAGAAGGGACTAGTGCCTGGAGAAGGATATAATGCTTGGTAAAGGCGAAGGTCAGAGAAAAATGGGAAGACCCTCAAAGAGTCAAATGGACACAGTGGCTGCAACTATGGGCTCAAGCTTAGACATTGTAACGGTGGTGAAGGGCAGGGCAGTGTTTCCTTCTGTTGTACATAAAGTTTCTATGAGTCAGAATCGACAAGAGGATACCTCACAACAACATTCACTTCACATTGTGAACTATATATACATATAAAACCACTGCTATGGAGTTGATTTTGACTCATAGGGACCCCTACTGAGTTTCCCAGGCGATAAATCTTTACAGAAGTAGATTGTGCCCTCTTCCTTCCACAAAGTGGCTGGTAGGTTTGAACCACCAACCTTCTGGTTAGGCACTGGTGCACCAGAGCGTCTTAAATTTTACCATATATTACTTTTTAAAAAGTCAATTAAATAAACGTAGTTTTTGAATTATCATTCCTATTGAACCATTAACCTGGTGCATTCATTAAGCTGGGTGCACTCCCAACATCCATGTAATCTTTCAGGGTCTGGTGTCTTCTCCGAAAATGAAGGAATTGGGACCGACCATCTCTAAAGTCCTTCCCAGCATTAACTTTCTCTGATTGCACACATATGGGAATGAGAACTAATAAACAGTGAAAGCTAATAAAGATGAAGAAAAAGGTGAAGAAATTGTACATCAGCAAAGCTACAATAATAGTAATGTAAGCTGCGTTGGCTACGCTTCGGAAATGCAGTCTGAAAGCCCGGTTGGCGTTAGAGTATGCGCGGAGGCTGTGGCCGACGGGGAGGGAGCAGCGGCCGGCCAGGTAGGACAGCGAAGACGGGGAGAGATCCACACGGTCGCGAGGGCCACGTTCACGGAAATCCGGCCCCAGGCGGACCTACCTCTCGGGTGCGTCCGGGGGGTCCAGGTCGGGTCGCGGGTGGCCCACCAGCGGCGTGGAGGGGGCACCCGCGCCAGGCCACCCGAGCACGTCAGCTCCGCGGGCGCTCCACTGAGGCTCCAGCGCAGCCGCAACTTCTGTCCACACGCCGCCGCCGCCAACCCGGAAGCGCTGACGCTAGGAGCCGCCTGCGTCTGACCACGTGGCCCGTGGAGACGCCCCCGGCTGCGGGTTGAGAAGTGCGGCGCCACCTACGGAGCTCAGGTCTGGCTTGTTTTTTGCGTTTTGTTGGGCGCGAAGGGCAGGAGTGAGAGCACCCCGACCGCGCAGTGGTTAAAGCGCTCAGCTAGCAACTGGAAGCTTGGCTGTTCGAATCGCTCATGCAGCAGAAAGATGTGGCAGTCTGTTTCTGTAACAGTTACAGCCTTGGGAACCTTATGGGGCATTTCTACCCTGGCTTCTAGGGTCACTATGAGTGGGAGTGGACTCAAGGTAGTGGGTTTGGTTTGGGTAGGAGTGACGTTGTTATCCTGCAAATTTGGAAGTTTTATGTCATATTAGACTGTCAGGTCCTCACCATCACCTTAATTTTGTCTCCTCCTTGATGTCGAACCTGGCATTAAGTTCTCGAATGTGTGGCAAACGAATGAAATCTCTTTTACAGTTATCATCATCATTTACTTCCTAAATATTTTCACATGTGTCCCCCCCTTTCTGTTTCCATCTCCAATTCTTTTGCTCAAGGTAGTGAAGAGAGACTTCGAGTCAGACTGACCTAGGTACCAAGTGATTGCAGGTAAATTACTTATCCTCTCAACCTTGATTACCTGATGTGTAAAAACCTGTAAAAATGGAGATACTAACACTGGTGCCAAACTTGTAGGGTTACTTTGGTGTAAATGAGTCATGTATACCAAACTAAACCAAACACGCTGCCATCGAGTCGAATCCAACCCATAGCGACCCCTCCTTGGGTTTTCAAGGCAGTATCACTACAGAAGTAGATTGCCCAACCTTCCTTCTGAGGAGTGTCTGGTGGGTTTGAACTGCCAGCCTTCTGGTTAGCAGTCAAATGCCTTAGGTACTACACTACCAGCGCTGCTACTATCATGTATGCGGTAGGCTTAATAAAGCTATGACTAGAATTAAGGAATCCTGGTGGCATAGTGGGTAAAACATTTGGCTGCTAACCAGAAGGTTGGTAGTTTCAAACCCACCAGCTGCTCTGTGGGAGGAAAATGTGTTTTATTTGGCAATCCTAATTGGAAAGGATTTTTGGGTTTGACAATACAGAAAAGTTAAGATTACCAAAGACTTTCTCATTACAAGAAAACTAGAAATGACACAGAAAATGTATAATTGAAAGTACAGGAAAGTAAACGCAGTCCCAGAAGCCAAAAAGTAGACTGAATTAAAACCTGAGTGGTAAGCTAGTTGTGATAGTTGGAGCTGTGTGTCAACTTGGCTGGACCACAATTCCGTGTGGTTTAAGCTGTTATGATGTGGTTATTCCCATGATGGGATCAGATGATTATGTTTTGAGCAGGCAATCTGTTGAAAGGGAGTTTTCCTAGGGGTGTGGCCTGCTTCCAGTATTATCTATGGACATCCTGGGCAAAGAGACATTCTTCTATGGATTGGGATTCTGTTGTGCTGCCTACAACTGTCAGTGAGTGAACAATCCACCATTTGGCCTGGAGATCTTGGATTCATCATTTGTTGGAGTCAACAGCTGGTGTACTGCCTGCCAGCCTTGAGCTCCTCAGCCCCTACAGCTGCAAGAGTCAGGAAAAGCCTCCAGCTTGACGTTTGATCCGGGAACTTTGGACTTGCCAGCTTCTATAAGTGTGTGAGCCATTTTCCTAAGATAAATTTCTCTGTATATACATATATGTAAGGTTTACTGGTTTTGTTTCTCTAGAGAACCCAGTCTAACACACTAGTCTTTGAATTACTAGGGAATTTAATGATACCAGGGCCTAAAGACTTAGGTTTTTAATGGCTACATTGGGACCAAGATAAAAAGCATTTGGTATGTGTGAGGTTGGGAGTTAAAAGAGACCTTCCCACACAAGTCAGGTCACTCAAAAGGGATATAACCTCCATGAAGGAGTGGGCTAGAAAAAAAATCTGTCTACTGGCAAAGGGAGATTACAAGAAAATGTAATTTTCTTGGCCTTGGCTCCAGGTGAGGGGCAAAGCCTCTTTTGAAAATTTGTGACTGGGCAGAATTTTAAACAGGACTCTCCCCCCCAAAAAAACTAGAAATTAAGCAATAGAATTAAATCAATAAAATTTAAACCTCAATGGATAAAATATTTCAATTAAATTTATACATCCATACACATAAAACTCAATGGACAGGTTAGTAGCTGAATAGAAAATCAGTGATCTAAAAGACAGATCTGAAGAAATTGTCCAGAAAAGTAGTCTCAGATGAAAGAAATGGAAAGTATGTAGGAGAGATAAAGAGGCATGAGAACAGAATGAGAATGATTTATTATACAATGTAATTGAATCCAGATGAAAGGTTAGTGGGAATGGGAGAGAGGCAATACTTAAAGACAATGATGAGAATTTTCCAGAAATGAGGCAAAACACAACATCTACAGATTTGGGGAGCACAAGAAATTCCAAGATTAAACTAAAAAATTCACACTTAGATACACTATAGTCTAAATGTGAATCATCAAAGACTGTTGTTGTTGTTGTTATGTGCCGTCGAGTCGGACCTGACTCATAGCGACCCCCCTGGGTTTCCGAGGCAGTATCACTACAGAAGTAGATTGCCCCATCTTCCTTCTGAGAAGTGGCTGGTGGGTTTGAACTGCCAGCCTTCTGGTTAGCAGTCAGGTGCCTTAGGCTCTAAGCTACCAGAGCTCCCCATCAAAGATTAGAAGACCTTAAAAGAATGTAGAAAGGAAATGTTGCTGTTGATTTAGTGTGCCATTGAGTCAATTCTGACTCATAGCTACCTTTTATAACATATAAAAGAAAACCAGTTACATTGACAGCTGACTTCTCAAAGCAACAGTACAAGCCAGAAGTCAGTGGAATGATATCTTTAAAACCCAACTAGTGTTATTTCATACTATAAAATTATCATAAAAAACAAGGACAGTATCAAGACAATATTATTGTTGTTGTTATGTGCCATTGAGTCAGACCCAACTCATAGCGACCCCTCCTTGGGTTTCTGAGGCAGTATCACTATGGATGTAGATTGCCCCATCTTCCTTCCAAGGAGTTGCTGGTAGGTTTGAAACCGCCAGCTTTCTGGTTAGCAGTCAAGTGCCTTAGGCACTATGCTACCAGCGCTCCCAAGACAATATTAGACAAACAAAAAGTGAAAGCATTAACCACAAACCCCCACTAGAGGAAGGAAAATAACCCCAAGAGGAAAATATAGGATACAAGAAGGAATAGTGAGAAATAGTAAACACAAGGAAAATCTAAACAAATATTGATATGCAAAACTGTTGTTTCTGAGTTAGATCTGACTCAAGATAAGCTTACGTACAACAGAACAAAACTGTGCCATCTTCATGATCATTGGTATGTTTGAATCCATTAGTGAAGTTGTTGTGTCAATCCATCTCCTTGAGGGT